AGCGCGGCGAGCGGGGCGACCGGGGCGAGCGCGGCGGCGACCGCGGGCGGCGGCGCACACGGTCGCGCAGCCGCGATCGCGGCCGCAGCCGCAGCGACAAGCGCAGCTCGCGCACCCGCTCGCGCAGCAAGTCGCGCAGCGCGCGCTCGCGGCGATCGCGCAGCAGGAGCCGCGGCCGCCGCAGCCACTCGCACTCGCACCGCTCGCGCTCCGGGGACGCGCGCAAGGAGCGATCGCGCTCCAAGGACCGCTCCGAGCGCCGCAAGGATGGGTGAGTGCGAGTGCGGCGGCGCCGCCGCCAACGACAACCCTTGTAAAATTTAATACTTTACAATGGTTGATGTGCAGAGTTCTTTGAATTCTTCATTGAGAACATGTTCATTGATAAACATATCCAATCTCTATTTTTTTTTAAAAAAAAATCTTTATCCTTCTTAGTTTGCCAATTGTTAAAAACATACAGGTTCCTTCTGAACACAGATCAATCTCAGTGAAGAGGGAAAGGGGTTATCATGAGTTTTGCCTGGTTGGTAAAACCAGGTTTGCCGTGAGCTACAAACACAATATTACTTCCAAATAATTGAAACAGATTATAAATTTATAAATTGGTTCTTGAACAAAGCACAACTGCCCCACCAAAGATTTCATTCCTTTCTAATGGAAGAAGGGACCATTCTAATAAACTGTTTTCTGTTGCAGCGAGAGAAGACGAGGTGATACAGAACTAGAGGACAACCGTGCTAAACATGAACATGCCGACGATAAGAACTAAAGCTGCATGAGCAGGATTCAGCTGGCATCGTGCTTTGCGAAGAGCATTCTGTTTTGTTTCTGCACTAGTCTTTGGTCACATTGCCTTGGGGTGAGAATGTAACAAGGTGCAGCCAGTGGAAACAAAGACCATTTCTGGTTATTTTGTTTTGTGACCTGGCAGTTGAAATTGATATTTTGCCAAACATTCCCATTTGAAATTAAAAAAGCCCTCTGATCTGAGGATAAGTGGGTATCTTGCTTACAGCAGATCTTCAGGTTATCTGTGATAAGTGAACTTCTATTTCACCCTGTGGCCTTGCTAAGTTTGTGGCCAGGACTTGTGTGATTTACTTGTTAACACTGTTACATGTCTGTATATATAGCTATTTTTCATTATTTGTAAGATTAAACGTTATTTGTAAAATAATTTTTAAAACCATTATGATTTATTGGAATGTGAGATGGTAAAAGTGTTTCTCGGCATGTTGTATTTGGAGCCACATTTGGAAGTTCACTTCTTAATTATTTGATGTGCTGATTTGCTGTGAGAACAGTGAAATTAACTTGTGGTTTTGTGGCAAATAAGTGATGTAAATGAATAAGTGACAGACATTTTTCAGTGGGATTCTCTTTTCCATGTGGCGTGGTGTTTTGTATTATATATTCTGAAGAGAACTGAAGTAGAAACCTGTAGATGGCCTTGTTTTTCAGACCTGTGATTTAAGTTGTCTTACTGCACCTAGCTTGAGTGCAGATATGCACTCTCACCCCAAAAGTTGAGTTCCAGGTCAGAATTTGTAATAATTTAATGGAATAAAGATATTTACTCTTCATTTGTGAGGTTACTAATAGTATTGTATTTAATATCCCTACTTATTATATGGAAGATGTGATTTTCAATCTGAGAACAAATGAATTTGCAGAAGAATTACTGTTAAAATTTGAAATGAAGTAAAAACCAACTGTAATCAGTTGGGTTTTTGTTTTCTATATATTAATTTCGTATTGTCCTCATGTGGAAATGATAATATAAGTAGTCTAGAAAATACACATTCCTATATAAAAATTACTTTATTTTCAAATTTCTTGAATGAAAAGCATTTTTTTACACTTTTAAGCAACAAATTTTATTATTTTAATGCTACCAAAGCACAGATGCAAATGAATCTTTCACTAGTCATTTTTAAAGTTTGTCCTTTGAAAGATGCTCTTCTTTTAATTTTTTTTTATTAATAATCAACTATGAATATCTGAATTAATAGTAATTTCAATTTTTTATTTCTTTCCATTGAACTCTTATCATTTAATATAGTCATCCATGAAAGGGGTCACAATTTCGTATAATACCCTAGTTTTGCTCCTTTCTTTCTACCCAATCAGAGAAACGAAGGTGCTTTCAGCACTAGGTTGGCAAAAGATGTTGGCTCCTGAGTTTCTTTAAGATCACTTAGTGTTCTGAGTAGAGTACATACGACAAGTGAGAAAACTCCAATCAAATCCACAGATAATCTTTAAAAAAAAAGTAATAATAAAATGAGTTGGTGGCAGTTTTATAATATAGGGGATGGTTCCTACAGTACTGTTAGGTCTGTTTCTGGCAAATGAAATTCTGTCAAGTGGAAACTCATATTTTCAGGTTTTTAAATATCGGACAGAATTACTATTTGCATCCATTCCAAACACAAACTAGTACTAAAACAGTGCACACATTCTCCCCCATACTTTCAAGACAATTTTTGGAAAAATTGTACATGCCCTATTTCAAAATTTAAAATTACATTAAGGGAAAAATCTATCTTCAATATTTTAGATCTAGGAAGAATCCAAAAACTTATTCAATTTTCGAAACATATGAGACCAGCACCATTCTCTTAAATGTCCTTCGCACTATCCTACTACTAACAACAAAATTTAAACAAAAACCATGGAGCCTTTTTTTTTTTATTCGAAAATGTCCAAGGGGCGTCATGTGAAGTACCTCCAAAAATTAAAATATCGGTTTCAAATTCAAAGGCCTGCGACATCAGCCAGATCGATTGGAGGATATCAATTTGAGAAAATCGGCTGAACGATTCGGTCGAAACCCTACTTCCGAAATTTGAAGCTCTTTTTCACAGAATTTTTGAGTTTTCGAAAAAACACAACTATAAGTCTTTTGAAGCATTTTAACTCTCAAAAACAATAGTGTTTACAAATTGTTGGAAATGTGCATATTAATGGTGTGAGAGATCTTTCGAATGCATTTGTGTAATTTTCGAAGAAAAAAAAAAACAACGAAATTAACTTCACGACATTAAAGAGTGCAATTATTACTATCCGTCCGAAAAGTATTGTCCGAGAACAAATTTAGATTTTTTGTTGCTGAGAAAATTATTTAAGAGTTTCTGAAAATGCGGAATTTTGAGCTAGTATTCACACAAAACGGTTGAGCTGGGTCCGTGAATCCCCAAAGGGCCCCTTCCGATGTCGCCATTGCCGCCCGCTTCCGATAAGTGGCAGGGCTCTTCCCACGCCACCGCCGTGGAAGTGGGAGAGTTCTGCTGGGCTAGGTATCGCCGACCCTCCGGCGACGTCGAACAAAGGGATCACAGGAGGTTCAACGCCGCGAGCGGGGCGAAGTGGGAAGACCAACATTTAAAGCTGTTTTCTGCTAGCAGTGATGCATGCGCCCTTCCGCCATGTTGGTGGAGAGTGTCCGCCGACGCAGTGCAAACCCGTCGCACGTGGGAAGACCTTCATTTAAAACAATGCTCTGCTACGAGCCGCGGAGTTAGGAAGTGCGCTGCTTTGGCAACGTGAGAAGGGGCCCTAAGGCGCTGGCGCCTGGGAAATTAGGCGGCGAGAGGTGAGCATGGTCGAGAGCCTCGTGCAATCGAATAGTGAACCGTCTTTGCCTCCTACGATCGACGTTCATTACTCGTAATTAAGTGGCCGAGTAGTTCGTTTTGCTATGATCTGTTATCTGATATGTGCATAGTATCTATATCTGCGGCTTCGTGCAAGAAGGGCTGTCAATATTCACTTTTGTCTTAAGCCTTTCTTGTATTGAAAGAAGGACCATTAAAGCACACCTTGGCCAAATACACGGAAAATCACCAAAAACTGACATGACCTTCTTGTACCAAGCCCGATACATATTTCAACAATAATTATATGTTTAGAGAAGTGATCCATATGTGTGAACCAACAACCTGATTTTTCTCCAAAGCATCTGGTTATCTTACTCTGATCATAAGATTTAGCACTTCCTTCGTGCTTCTCTCTAAAACACTCCCTCTCATTATATCAAAATACAAAGAGATTGAAACAACATTGTTTGCTCTTTTGGGAAGGACACCAATATTTCGGGCACTCCCTACATCGCAAAGTACTGATATTACAGGAAGCGACGCCCGGACTTGTTAACATCCTCGTTCGGCTGAGAGTTCTCCTACCGCTTTGCAACTCGGCATATGAATTGATACTGGTAAGATGCTGTCCACAGATCGGGTTGAACCTAGAGGGTTTCTTCTATGAAAAAAAAAAAAAAACATCAGATTTTTGACTGTGTGTTCACGATGATATCTCATCTGCCGGTGAAACCGGAAAATCCCTTGCGTCTAGCGAGAGATGGAGATGGAAATCATAATCGTAAGTTCCGGTTTTTCGATCGGAAAAGCAGAGCACCGCTGATAGTCCTTAGTGGATGACGTCGCGACTAGATGTGGTCTGTAAATACACTTTTCATACAACATGAATAATCTTTTAGAAAGCTCTTGATTTAGCAACAGCTTAGCAATTTTCGACAATCTTGAAAATAATTAAATGAGAGGCGCCTTTCGGACTTATACTTACAAGATTTGCATAATTTACTTTAACTTTACTACTTAACTTTAATTTTAAAAATGTTGGTCGGCGAAGCCAATTTTGTTCGATATACCGATTTCTGTTGATAAAATGGCTTTGGAATCTAATCTTTCTTCGCAGACAAGGTTTGATTAATTGTTGTTTGGAACAATTCAATAAAAAGGGCGCTGTTAAAAGTATCTTCAGAGCAAATGAATGTTTTTGCGGACTTTCCTGCAACTTCCTGCACCGGGCGATAGAATTGCTCGCTTGCATAAAGGCCGCCAAGGGGCATCCACGTGGCATCCATCTGGACACTAAATTACAGAATGCAATGTCGCATCGAAAAGTGAATAATAAGTGTAGCAAAAGACAGAAAAATATCTCCGGTTTCAAAGAAAATTCTCAGCCCCTTAAAATCTACAGGTTTTCGGGTTCGCTGGTCAACCTGCCTCATCATTTTTATCATACCTTCCCTACAATTTTCCAGGCAGCCATTACTTCCTCCAGGCGAGCCCAATCTTTCCTATCTCTATCCTCTATCCGCACGACCACACGTCTCGAAACCAGGAGGAGGCACAGACCTTCTACCGTTGGGGCGGTGCTCTGCTAGTGTGAGATACTGATTGGGAAAACCCCGCAAGCCAACTTACAGTACGGCACCAGATATCACCGCCTCCTCCCGTAACAAAAACATGAACGACAATTATATGATAATGACTAATTAATTGACGCGCCTATAAACGTTAATCAATGTACATGAGAGCTTTACTAGTATTACAATATTTAATGAATTAAGTGGATCACTATCTCATTTGTAATTGAAAAGGGTTGCAGTAAGAAAAATAACATAAATTCATTCAAAAATAGTTTCTTAGCAACCAGAATTTTATAAAGCAAGACCCGGAATCACATATTCCAGTAACACACTTTATTTAAATACAATAAGGTGCGAGACAGAGAAACAAACGAACGGACAGACGGACGGACAAACAAACGGACAGACGGACGGACAAACGAACGGACAGACGGACGGACAAACGAACGGACAGACGGACGGACAAACGAACGGACAGACGGACAACGAAGGGACAGACAAACGAACGGACAGACGGACAACGAAGGGACAGATGGACAAACGAACGGACAGACAGACGGGCGAACGAACAGACAGACGGAAGAACTAACGGACAGACGGACGAACGAACAGACAGGCGGACCAACTGATACACAGACGGGTGGACGGAAAAACACCCCGGCCGACGGTGGGACAAACAGACCGACGGAGGGACAGAGCGACGGAGGGCAGACCAACAGAGGGACTGACGGACGGACCCACGGCAGTCGCGCGCACACATGCGCCAATTGAACTTAGCGGAGAGGCTAAATAAGGAATGAATGAATGTTGAATCCGAGAACTTTGAAAGAGGTGACAAGAACAGTGAAAAGCTAGCAAGGCAATAAAATGACTATGCCGTTAATATACAATTCGTTACTTCACACTTTCGTAAAGATGTATCTTACAGATAGCGTGAATACTTATTCATGGAATTTGCTTATGAATGAATTAAATAATGAGATTAAATTATTTATTATAAAAATGAAAATATATTTAATCGACTCGTGTGAGTGAAATCAACAATAGAGTACGTAATAAATTAATTAGTAATTACACGAAACCGGTTGTTCACCCATTCGGTTCTATTATTTTTTTAAATAAACATTTTCAAATCAGAAAATAAGTATTTCTTCAACATCATTCAGAAAACTGTCCTGCTGCGAATTACACACGTCAATATGGATTTTCCTTCTTTCATTTTGACACTTGTTTAATACGTAAGATGGTCACCTGAATCCAATAATGTTCTTACTTTTGTTCCATCACATCACAATTTGTAATAATTTCAGTAATTGTGAAAAAAAGATATTGAAAATATACAAATTTTCTTCAATGAGATAGAAACACAAAATATATTATTCGTGATAGTTGATTATGTCAGTTCATTTTCCATGATTTTGTAACAGAACACAGTCAGATGACAGCACGTTACAGTATTATAGTCATGGACCTATGAATACATGTATACATAGCTCCATGCTTATAATAGCAAACTCTGCAAAAGTTAAATCAACCGGGTTATCTAATATTCGAATGCATCTCAAGCAGTGTTCCGAATTCGTATGT